TCTGATGTGATGCATTAAAGAAATGAGTTGGTCAGCTATTCAAACTAGACTGTTTTTATAAACATGCTATGTTGCGTAAACTAAATGGAATAAAGATTTTTTAAAAACACTTGATCAGAGATAAAAGTGGGCCCCTGTTTTCCCAACAATGCAACGGTTACCTGATCTGCCATAAAGACTATAGCGCTTTTTCTTCTTCTTCTTCTTCTTCTTGTTCTTCTTCTCCTTTTTTTTTTCTTTTTATCCAAGGCGCTATTTTATTCAAAGCGAGTGACTTGATGTTATCGATCTCCGTCACAAAATCGTCTTTAAAATCTGCTATCCAGAAGATACATGGACGATTTGGCAGAACATACTTGCAGGATTTATGTCGGTTATGCATTTAAAGTTTTTACTTGATTTGTCTTATTGTCAATGTACTTTTGTTATTATTCAAAATTGTCTGCTCAAAGATGAATCAGAGTCATTTAAGCAGGGTTGGCTTCGAACGAGGTGGCCCGATAGATTTTTAGGTATCATAAGTATAAGTTTGTAATTTCTAGTCTTAAGGAGAATCTGTAAGAAAAACCTAGTTTCATTCATATGTGTCAGTTTTTTAATTCGCTTTTCCTCGTCGCTTGAAAACCAAGATTTTTCAAATTAGTTTTGTGAATTTAAATGAATTTTCACGTTGGTCACATCCCACTGATCTTATGGTAAACACATCACGGTGCCAAGCTACAATCGCGAATCTGAAAACTTTTCGAATTAAGTTTTATTTCCATTAGTTTGTTATCCATCTTTCAATTCTATAATTCAAGGCAGTTTGAGTGCTATTTACATGTCATTTGGCATTACTCTATTGTTGCTTCGCGTAAGCGATCACTAAGCTAATCTCTAAACAAAATTGTTCATAGTGACGTTTCTTTTGAACTTGACAGAAAATCGAATTAATTATCATGCGACCAAACGAGATGCCAAGAAATACCAACAGAAGAAGCCCATCTTCTAAGGCGAAAAGTTTTGAATAGGGAGACAACAGAGAAAAAAATTATTTTGTCAATTCAAGAACAATTATTTCGTAATGGCATGTAAAATACACATTTCTGGCTTCAATATCAGCGTCAAAATGTTTCTTGTTTGAGACATTTCATACATCGGGGAAAAAGGTATGTTAAGACTTTAACCTTGGGCGCTGTGTTCCCTTTATAGAAATGTAGGTCCGATGGTAAATTATCTTTAAAGTGGCAGCTGAAGAACAATTCAGGAACATTTTTAGAAAATTTCAGATTCGTATATTCTGATACCTTTGAATTTATTGTATTTTACAAAACAAAGATTCACAGTAGAGGCTAATCTTTTGGAAATGTGAATATGCTTGATTTGACTTGATCCTTACAAGAAAATGACAGCCAATGTTTTTGATCTGCCTTTCTTCTTCTGGAGAAGAAGACTTCATTGTCGACCGTCTTATGAGTTAAGTTTTTTAATTCATTAAGAAGTCGATAATGGTTGTCTTCTTCCTTGCCTCAAGGCTTTGCTCAGACTTGTAGGTATTCGCCTTATTCACGTTCTGATCTACATGAATATTCATCTCACTTTAAAATAGCATTCGATACTTTACAAATATTTCACTTTGTTTACATTCTTCTATTGGCTGTTAAAAAAAGCAGCTTAGTCCGGCGAAGCTACGTAGGTTAAAGGATACGATTAATTTTTTTTCTTGCGTTAAAACATCTCTGAAGCAAATAAATAATTTCGCGATAACCACCGTTTTAGCTGATTGGCAGGGATACCATCCGCGCCCCGTTGAAGCCAAATTGGTAAATTCGTGTGTTAATCATCCGATAAGCAAATCAGTTTCCGAAATGTCAAACACATTGATTAATACTTAGCGTCGAGAACCAAAACCTGCCAAGAGCAAGAAACTTATGTCAGATATTTTTATAGCAAAAAAGTTGTCCTCGCATCATCCAATGAGTGTGCACAAAGATAGCATAATTTTCGACGGATATGTAACTTCTAGCATGCAGGGATCGTTTCCTTTGAAGTATTTCTGGATTGGCAGGTACGACAATCGCTTTTAAGATGATATGTGCTATTATAGCTTTTAGCCAATCGATTTAATGCTTTCTCCATTTTTATCAATCTTTCTATTGTCTTTAGTCGCAAAGAGCTCGCACCCTTCGAAGGCCAGTTAAGACTTGTGTATACGAAACGTCAAAGTTTTTCCCTCTTTATCTCTACTTTCGGTAGAATTCTAATTAATTTTTGATTACACTTCTCTGGATCTGAAGCAAGAGACCCTGGTTACCTGTTTCAAGTCTTTTCAATGAAGACAATGGAGGCTCGACAAAATAACAAGAATGATCTGTGCGCAAGGCGAAAAAATAATATAGTTGTGAAGCCCATCATGTCTGTAGAAGTGGGCACCTTGAAAAATTTGCGGGATTGTTCAAGTTCTTTATGAATTTTTGAAAACTTCGATGCAGTTTTTAGAATCCAGAGATCGCTTAACAACCGCCTCATTTTTAATCTGCGTAAATGGACGTAAATTCTCTGCATCTTGAGAGCAAAACATTGATTTTCATTTTACCGTATTGAAGCAATGATTTTACCTAACCACAGCAAAGATAAAAAACTAGCATTATCTATTCAGGTGAACGGGGAACTGTTTCCAAATTGAGTTTAATTCTCTGCTCAGCAAAAATTAACCCCATCTGCTTTCCTGAGACATTCCCCCCCTAGACATTTTGCTTTTCTGTTTGCAACACAACCTGAGCTTTATTTTTTTCCTCATTATTTGTTTGACTGGATGAGAATTCTCTGCAGCTCAAGTTATTTTCCTCTAGCTTCTCATCGAAATGGCTTCTTTTATTTTAAGCTCCTCCAGGGAAAAGCGCAAGTGTTCTAACCCTGTTTTAATCCTCTAAGCTCGCTCTCCTTTTAGAAATCAGAAAGGGAATCTTTTCTTTAAAAAAAAAAAAAAAAATCATCTCTGAATGCTATGAAAATGTAGTTCTTTCCCAATGCAGCGAAGTTCTCTACTAAAAAGGGTTGTGATCTCCTGCCTTAGCAGAATTCTCTTTCTAGCTGATCACTGCTAACCCTAACCTAAGTTATCTTCCTTATGGAAGCGCAGTCATCACCCTAATCAAAGATCAGCTCAGTCTCTTTCCAACTAATGTACGAAAAAAGTCCTTGTCTTTTCAATGCCAACAAAAGCGTAGTTTTCAGCCCATCCGAACAACCATTGTGAGTTCAGCTAAAATGTCATGTTCTGCTCAAATGAACTAAAGCGCTCTACTTTCTCAGCTTGCTATTTTTGTGGCTATATTCCTTAAAAGGCAGGCTGGTGGTTTAGGGATGTCAAAGTAAAGGATTTTACATGGCTACTGTTTCAACTTTGTGCGTCGAACCTCTGCCTTAACAAATGGTGTTATTAAGCTCTCTTCATAACTTTTCTTTGGAGCAAAGAGCAGCTAGCCGGAAAGATTGAATTTCATTTGTCTCGTAATTTTTTGTAGAATCTTTGACCACATAATTTTTTACAGTGTATGTTAAATTTTTACAGTGTATATAAGTTCTAGATTAGTTGGCAGTACTGTGATCCTGAAGCAAAATGCAATGATTTGCTAACAACCCTGAGCATAATTAAAGCGACCATCTTTTCGATCATATATCATAGAATTTTATCAACCGATTTTTGGCCGCGGGGAATATACTAAAACTGATAAATGAGTCAAAGAGCTTTGTTTATTTGAAGCGGACCGTCATTAACGTTTTAATTGCTCTTTCGGAATGAACGCGTAATTTTCTTGACTTCCCCTTCCCTTTTTGAACTTTGAAATTATGGCATCTATAACACTGAATACAAGATTTCTGTTCCTCATAAGGAAGGTCATTCGATCAATCCATTAATGGGTTACACCAACAATGCCTTGACCAAAATGATATATCAAGAGCAATCAAATGTTTCAGCTTTTAAAGCTAAAGCGAGGAATCGATGTTACATGAATAACCAACCAAGGGAGCAGATGGGAGGTCGATTATAATTTGAAAGGCACATTTTTCCGTTTATCATTAGGAAAAACTTGAGCCAAAAAAGTTTTTCAACGCATTTTAACTTTTGATCTATTGATCGAGATTTTTACTTTCAAATAACCTTTTTTAATTAAAAAAAAAATTAACAACAAAAACTGGAGGAGTACGTGCAACGTACGCCGAAACCAAGGACAAAGATTGATTCAATTGTATCGGATCTTTCCAAGATGTCAGTACCATGTAAAGCCCGTTTTTGGAAGAGATTTGCATATTGTATTTGTTCGTCCGGCTAAGTTTCTCACTTTTAGGAAAACTCGTGAATTTTGTGGCGATGCTAATATTCTTTTCATGAGTGAAATTTATACTTACGAGCCAAATAAAATGCATCAATCAACAATATTCGACTTTCACTTGAACAGATTCTTATTATCACTGTGCTGTATGTAGTATTGCACCACAAAAGCAAATATGGCTAAACAGTACAAACGGCTTGTTAAAAAAAGGCTTTTTAAGCGACCTCATGCTAACTCTTGTAATGAACTCTATTTTCATGTGGTGCTAAGTTTAGGCCTACAGTCAAAAGCTGGATTCCTCCACATCCTTCATTACGAAGAAAATTCAGTGATTTGCTATCCAATTAGCTTCTGCCGCATCTTTAGTTAACCCGAGTATAACAATGACTTTAATTTCTTCATAGTGCACTAATTTTTTTTTGTCGTTTTTCTGATTTAAAACAAACTTACGGTTAGAGAGTCAATGATACTTAGGTTTGCAAAAAAGAGTCACTTTGAATTAAGCAAACTAGTTGTTTTTCCGTGTTGTTACTTTGTTTACATTGTTTTATACTTGTCAATCAGTTAGTATGATCAGGTACGTAGTTTCAATTCACGCGAGCTTTTTCATGTTTTAAAAAATCATTCATGCTTATAGTAGCTTATCATATCCTTGTCTATAAATTGCCACTTTATGACACGTAGTTGCTCAAATCCATTTGAAGTCAAGACGAGGTAGACCAGACGAAGTCAAGAGAAGTTTCAGATGAAGATGCTACTTACTCAGCTAGTCTGCTTTATCGCGGGCCTTGTTTTTCTTCAGTCCATCAGTGTTGGTAGGATTAAGATTCGTTCTTTCCATTTTCGTGTTTCAATGTCGTTTATTTAGAACTATTCCTGGAAAATTTGGTTTTAAACATCCACTATTTAGCTTCAATAGGTTTATTTAGTGTCATAGCTTTTCAAACAGAAGGAAAAATGGTAAACACACTAACAGAGCAATGACAAACATTTTTGTATGTTATTCCTTAACAGATGCAAAAACTGACGAAGTCTTGGAAATGAAATTGTTCAATCCTAAATTTCGAGCGTCAGATAAAGAGTTATATGAAATGTTGAAGGCAGCAAACCTGCCAGGACGTGGTTACAAAAAGGAAGTCGTAACCAAAGTGGTTGAGGGAGAAAGTGGCAAACAAGAATACCAGGCATGTTATCCCTTATACTCTCCTTGTTGTACAATTGCATGCGCAATAAGAAATAAAAGCCTGAAATAATCGCCACTTTTACAAGTCAGTGAAGAAACATTTCACCTCGCAATCAAGATAGTTTATCGATTAGAGGTGAAAGGATTCCGACTAATCTTAGGACATTCTTTTTTTTAACCCTAGAAAATCCATTTCTACTACAAAGATGTAAGTTGCGGCCCGAAGCTGTTGAAAGTTGAAGAGGAATTGAGACGTTTGTTCCCAGGTATGACAGCTAAACCCAAAGTTTGATTCCCTCCCTCCCCCTCAAAGTCTAAAACGAAAAAGGAAGTACAGCAGGGAAAATAATCCTCGGAACTCGAAAGTATTATCGTGAAAAACTTAGGGTAAAAATGAAACTCAAAATCAAGGATTGCAAAGAGTCGTGTTTAAAATGATTTCAATCATAATTAGTCAAGAATTAGGGAAGTGTCTCAAAGCATTGATTACAACAGCATAATATTGATTGTCCCTTCTAATCTTCGACAGCCATCGTGGGAAAAGAAGTAAACAAAAACTTCAAGATGGAAGTGAAAAGCAGGCATCTTACTAACATGCGAGAGTGTAAGGTTGGCCTTGAGGTTCACTTCATGAAAAACCAGGGTTGCTCGGACAGTGGTCACAAATCCGTTCCCAAACGACGCAAGGAAAGGGGTTTTTTGGATTGCTGGTTTTGCAAAGGGTGCATCGCCGTCAGCGCAAGATAAGCCTGAATAAAAAGCCATGAATCAGTGCTAAAGCGCCTTTGTTTTCTCCCATATTAAAGCACTGTGCCTTCACTCTATTTAGAGCGTGATTTATTTTTCTAAACATGTTACAGTTATTTCCATGATGAGAGCGCAGTTTTCTGCATAATAAAAACTTAGCCATGTCCCCAAGCAAAGCAAAGGAAAACAAACAATAAAAAGAAAACCCTACCTCTAGCCAAAATAATTATCCCCCTAAGCAGCTATCTCCTTTTTCAATTAGCCTCCCAAATGTCAGGTCGTCCACCCAATAATTGCGCTCGGCTTTTATCGACTTCTTATGTTTCTTAGGGATCAGACTTACGTGGTTCTCCCTCTCTTGATTGTATGAATAGAGCCTGTGATGTGAAATTTTAGTTTGCTTGGCACATAATTCGGTTGTTAATTGTAAAGCAGTCTCGCAGTAAGATTCCCTTTGTCTTAAACCTCACCTCCCAAAATGTAACTTGCAAGTATCCGAATATGCTGATTGACTTCAGGAAATAAGTATACTGATTTCATATAAAAAACTCGAAAAATGTCTATTAGAAACTCGGTTCTTTGAGCTTCAACTTAATCTTGTTGACCGGTTAGCACCTAATAACAAACGGCTTTGAATTGGCGATCTATGGCTGCCGACGTTTGTTCGGCACGCTTCCATTAAGGAAATAACCAATACAAAGAAACAGTCCTCCTTTCACGCGACTTACCTTTGTGTCATTCCCATGGTACTGCTTTGCACTCTTTATTGCTTATAGTTTCATGCCTGTCTTCTAATTGGCGAGGTGAACAGGCAGTATGGGTATGTCAGGTCATGTCATGCCCTCTAGGAAATGTCTGTTTTCGTTCAATTCTGCAAAATTAGTCTTGTAACTGCATTATGGACTTTATAACTTCTGAGGATATTTTTCCTCCCTTATTTTCCAAGAAAAAAGTTTTCCAGAAGTTAGTGCTGCAATATAGTTACAGAACACAGCGGTTGTAAACCTTGAGGACTTCTCCGGATAAGACAGAACCCTGGCCATTTTTTTTGTTAAGCACATCTCTATGCCTAAAAAATATTATAATTAACTTAGACAAAGTTCGTTTCGCTGAACCAGTTTTTTGCAAAAAGGTCTTTTATTCTTTCTCGACAATTCTCTCTCTGCTGCCTCCTTCCTTTTCAGCGCGCCTCCCAATGGTTTTGAAGGCTCTTTAATATTATAAAGGTCCCCCCTCATCGGCAGTCAATCTCCTATAGTCACTTCTTTATACTCTTCTAGCGACGACTGATCTCCCCTCCATTTCCGGCTTCCGTTTCTTTCTCCCAAATATAACCCTTTGGCGTGCGTAAACCACAAACAATTTCAAAAATTTTACCTGATTGCCGGTCAATTATAATTGGCTTTTAAATGTGTTTACAATTGGAACGAGACGGGTTAAAGAGTAGGAGAGATAGAGATTGGGAGAGGGTGATAAAGATGAATATAACGTAAATATCAAAATGAGGATTTCATGCCAACGAAGTTAAGTACCTTAGACTTTGAATAAAGGCTGATAGTTTCGAAAGAAACTGTTTGGGGCTGCGTCGGTGGGAGTAACGAAATAATTTGGATATATCAACAAAGTTGAAATGGTAAATTGGCCACCGTAATGATTACAAAAGCTGACGTTTCGAGCGTTAGCCCTTCGTCGGAGCGAATGACGAAGGGCTAACGCTCGAAACGTCAGCTTTTGTAATCATTAAGGTGGCCAATTTACCATTTCAACTTTGTTGATATACCCAAATTACCTTAGACTTTGTTTATCACGATTTAGTACAGTCTGAGAAATATAAATTTCTGCTGGTCCTTTGAACGTCAGTTTCCTTTTGCTTCCCTGAAAGATGTTCCAATGGAGAGCGACGTTTCATTCCAAAGAAAATCAAACAGATACCCCAAAATAATATATATTTTTTTTTATCGTTCTGCTCCCTAAGAACGCTGCAGTCTTCCTGAACACAGCATTTCATTCAGCCAAACTACAGGGCACTTTTTTTCCCTTAAAGAAACGGTCTTCCCTACTTTTCAAATAGTTTCTTTACTCATATTTCAGAGATTTTTACGTTCTATAAATTTTATCGGTGTGATCTATAACACTACTGTAAAGCGCTATTGAATAGTGATAGAAATAGCGCTATATAAATACCGTATTATTATTATTATTGTTATTGTTATTATTATTATTATTATTATTATTATTTCAAAGTGATGAGCTTCTACTCAAGTTGGTTGGTAATTGAAGACACGCTTCAACTGAGGAAATACCCAATACAAAGAAAAGCCGTCCTTTCAGGAGACTTATGGTTGTGTGTCATTCCCATAGCCCTGCAATGTGCCTCTTTATCGCACATAATTTCATACAACGTGTAGATCATCATTTTACTTCGATCAAAAGAGTACGAAGATCTTTTCCTATTTTAAAGGTTTTTTGAATTGAGCAATATGGTATATGTAAGGAATAATCGTGAAGATCATGAAATCAGAAACCACATGTAGTTATCATAATAATCAGAGCAATATTATCTGTACTTGAGTTCAAAAACCAAGCTGCTAGCACGAAGGATGAGGAATGCCTAAAGCTTTTAACTTTTTCGCTCTTTGCTTAAGGGGGCATTCTGGTCAAAAAAAATTAAAAATCTTAATTTTTTTCGAAAATGTTTTGATGGCCTCTTTAGTTGGGCAAATCTGTCTAGTTTAAAGTTTTGATGTCAGTTTTTCCACTTCCAGTTTGCGAGT